AGCCAAGAGGAACTGGATTTGTAGCACCAAATGTACGTATTTTATTTGGAGGCTTCTCTTTGGATAACAGATGGCCTAAAATAAACACAGAACTAGGTAAAAATGCGGACAAGTATCCCTTCTCTCTCATGAGTATCATCTCTGACTTCAACACTGCGTGGTGCACGTTTGAATCTCAGAAGGAACATCAATTCTTTTAACATCTTCCTGACGAGTGCCGATGAGCAGGAAACCTAGGTCCTAGGCTTCCTTCCGATTGTTTCTAATCATCTAATGTCAAATTAAAGTGTACCACGGTGACAAATCAACACAGGCTTGATGATTACACCTGTCTGGTAGAATTCAGTCTGAATAAACCGACAATATTAATCACACCTTAGTAACCAATCCGTGTAAACAGTCTCTCTGTTGAAAAACTGAAAACTGACACTGAAGTTTACAAAATATCAGCGAACGAATTCATGACGTAAACAGTGCAAATGAGTGAGAAAAAGTAGCTATTTACAACTACTTTGAGAGAAGATATGTGAAACATTATATACTTAAAATCATGTAGAATTCAAATTACGTAATAATGCTCACAAAAATATTTCGGAGCAAATGAGTGGATTGTGATCAGTGGATAAGAAATCTGAAAAGAAATCAATTACTGGCTCTTTTTTTGATTGGTGAGATGAGACTGAAGTCATTTGAGATTAATGAATTCCTGCTAGTTCATCCACCTCAAGTCCATGGTCGATTAGACACTGAGCTGTTGCACCAATGAAATACTAAAGATCCTTGAGTTCCAGGCTGTTTGGTATGTTCAGTCAGGTGAAATGATGTTCATTGTTTTATCTTTCCAACTCGGCTGTTGTGCAGGTACTTGTAAACCTTCAAATAAAAGTGGTCACCTCATATAGGTACTTTCGACTGATAATAGATACATGGAGTGTCGCATAGAAGAAGGAGTTTATCCACGTAAAAAGTCTTCGTACAAGTTACTCTAAATCCCTTCTTCATTTCTTGTGATATGTCGTCTTCTTCAAAAGTAAAATGGATAAAAACAAACTTTTTCTAGACTGTGCTGGTGTTCTTCGCAACAACATGCTCTTCTGGTCATTGCGAATTTCATTGATAATGAATGTGAAGCCATCAAGTGATTTGTCTTCAAAACTTCAGACTTCACGTTATGTCAAACAATGACTACAGTAGCCCTTTATTTGAACTTCACTTGACATAAACTGTTGTTATTTAAATACTGTCATATTTAGATATCCCAGTAATAAGTGCCTTCCTCATCTGTGTTAACATTTCTTCTCACTGATGGATCAAAAAGGTGGGACTGATTATTCCTTAGTGGAACTAACGTTTTGATACGCATCGTTAGAATTTTAGGATAATTCGAAGGAGTCATTAATTTTTTCAGAATTTTCAAATCCCTGAAATTTCGGACTTTAGTATGTTCATCCTCAAGTTTCTAAGGAATATAGGAACAGCAGAGCCAGTAGAAATTCTCTAAATCTGCTTTTAAAACAAATTAAAGCAAATGTAATCTAACTGATGTCAGCTCATGATGAAATCATCCAACTAATAAAACACAATCCCTACAAAACCAATACTTGAAAATTAATCTGATGCTCACTAGCCACTGGCTCTATTCAGGCAGTTAACCTGGGAAATGAGTGGGAAACCGTGACCAGTATGATGCAGCAGGTTAAAGGTAAGGCAGTAACTCATCCAAGAAGACATTGCGAAGTGGTCACGCTATGTCATGAATTGGCAGAAGTTATAATTGATGTGTTGGCCGTTGGATTGGGTCCCAGTGGCTCAATGATCTACGAGCTCGCCTTGTAATCAGATGGTCCTAGATTCGAACTCTGGCGGTGTGTGCGTACTGTGAAGAGTCCCAAACTGGGCTGACGAAACAACTGTCCAGTACTCCCGGGCTTTTCAATGGTTCTCTAAATGATATCAGCTCATGAGGAAACCCTCCAACCAATAAAGCAAATGTATATAAATATAACCTGGTAGAATACTCAGTCAAGCTTATGATAACAACAATAAATCTGAAAAATTCGAGCTGGAATGATATCAGGCAATAAAACAGTTGTTCATCCAGTTAGATTTTACTTAAAAATACAAAATATATAAAGAAAACAGACCTGTTTTAAAAAAAACACTTTTATGTAAAGAAAGCAATAAATAAAGGAGTTCAATCGCTAAACTGAATGAATATCTGATCACTTTTTTGGGTTGATATTTTTGAAGAGTTTCAGTTTCATGAGAAGCAGATGCATAATATTAACATCAAACCACTATATTTAAAGTTTTATACCGTATTTAACTCGTCCTAGTTACAGTACTTCCTTACCTTTGGTATTTATACTGATTAGCATGTTTCGCCCTGAATGACTTCAGAAACGCTACCTATCTCCATATATATATATATACATATATATATATATATTAAACAGACTATAAGAAATTACTAAATACGTAAATGATATAAGTGACTGACCACAATGGTTTAGAGAAGAGGACAGGTGTTGTGTCTGTGCTGTGGTCATTGAGTGATTTGAAAAGTCAGCATTCTGTTTCCGTTCAGTAATTTTTAAATGATTTCCCTTTGTGATGAAGATCACCACTAAGTTGTAGTCATCTCTTTAATGTAAGAGTAAAACTTGAACACTGTGGTAGGGTATAATTCCATATTAGATAAATGATACTCTATTAATAAGCGGATGACGTTTAAGGCATAATTTATTACTCATAATGAAATCAGTTTATACACAGCTTCATAATATGCTTTATATATATATATATTTCTTTTCCCCTTCACTGTTTATTGCAATTTTCCACATATCCAGTGAATGAGTTGCGTCGTTTCGACTTCATGTGTTTGTTTGTTCAGTGATTAACCTTTATCTCTCTACCTTACTATACTACTTTTAAATACTCTAAACTTATCCCGCCCTATTGTGTGATTATATGCAAGTGAATGCATTGGAGTGGCCAAGCTGTTTCCTAGATTATCTAACTCGTTAGTGTCAGTCGTTCAAGATTTAGCCAAATTTCTGTGTTCTAATAATATAATTAACTGAATCTCTGTTTATCGAATCAACACCATACATATGCAATCGAAGTGACCCCATCCCTTCACCGGATTTATGGAAAATTTCAATAAATAACAAGGAGGAGAGAAGAGATATATGAAGCAAATTGTGAAGCCATTTAAAAACACTGATATGATTATGCCAGCAATAACTTGTGCTTGAAACGCCATCCAATTATTAATAGTACATTACATTGTGTGTTATGTCACAAAAAACTTATCGCCATCGAACAAAGCACAGAATGGCAGTCAAGCCTGTACTTTAACTTTATCGACTTTCAAAAGGCCTTCGACAAAGATGACAGCGAAGTTATTTGAAAACTAATTCAACACTATGGCGTTTAGTGTTAAAAAATCCTTATCAACCTCATTCAACAGCTGCCTATATGAAGGCGTGACGTGTCACAGCGATACACAGCGAAAAACTCAGTGAGAAGTTTGAAGTGAATACAAGAGGCTGCCTACTACAACCGATGATAACCTTAATTGTGGTGGACTGGATTATGCGTCAGGCAGGGGGTAGCAAGAAGACAAGAATCCGTTGGACAACTGATAAAAAGACTCTAGAAGATCTGGATTTCGCGTGCGGATGATTTCTGTTTAATATCACACAAATTTGAAGACTTAGAGGCAGGCGAAAACCAACAAACTGACAGAAGGGGCTGGTTGGCAGTGAAAACATGACTGCAGGTGAACAGAGAGAAGACGGAGGTGATGAAGACAACTAACTAACAGTGGTAACAAACAAGCCAGTCGCCATCAACGAGAGGAATTCGACGGAAGTTACTTCCTCACATATCCGGTCAGGAAGCACGACAGAACAGATGAAGATGTCAAAGCAGGTCAGAATCGGAAAGGCAAGATTCGCCTTCATCAAAATGTAACCAGTTTGGAAATCTTCTGCACTGCATTCAGAAAGCCAGCATAAACAACCAAATTAGGATTTTCAACACAAATGTGAAATCACTCAGCCTTTCTATATTGGCTAAAAACACGGCGGGCAGGTCACGAAACCGGTTGCAGACTTTTACCAACAGCTGCCTTCGCTGACTGCATACTGAATATCAAATGTCCGGCCGGCTGGCCAGAAAGAATTAGCTGCAAGAAACTCTGGCTGGCGACAGAACAACGAAGAGCCGACTGTTCAGTAAATATTTAGGAGAAAATGAAAATGTGTCGGACATACATTGAGGAGGCCGTCGAATAACATCGTTCAAGTGGGATCCGAATGGGAACCGACGAGTGGGTTGTCTGTGTGAGGGTGACATGGAAGAGATAGCGTGTTGAGGAGGCGATGAGAGATTATGGGAAATCGTGTGACTAGCCAGCTGAAGATGACAGCAGATAATAGAAGAAAGCGGAGATGTGTTGTTGAAGCCCTATGTTCCACTTGGAACCCAAGGGAATAATAATAAATTTTTGTTTTCTATATTAATATTTTATCAACTCTAATGGTATAATATGTATATACTTAGTATTAACTATAGATTTTCGTTTTCTTTGATTCTAGATCCTCCTGGACAGCCTACACTAACTATGATACATTCAATTAATAATAAAGGCGAAGATTACATCAGTTTACGTTGTCAATTAAATATTTCATGTAAATAATTATCAATATGTTTTTGAAAATTTTAACCGTTAAAAAAACATATTCACTCATCATCACTCAGAAAATAGCTTCAGTATTAAGTAATGTAGATATACCAATTACTCAAGTATAACTGAACATTAAGACATTTACCTGTCTATCTACCTACCTCATTTACTGAATCGTGTAGAGAGAAGGAATGCCGAATAGATGTTATTGAAATGACCGATGATAATTATTATTGATATTTATCTAGGTCATATGACAAAATCACTCCAGTCCAGTCGTTGTCAGGGTTCTAACATACTGGGAAGCGAAAAAAATAAATAAATAGAATTTGAATGAAAATGATATGAGAAAAATAAAAGAGATGATGAAGGCGCAACAGGGAATCGTATTTACCCAAATGAATGAGGTGCTTTTAAAAAATCATCTACATGAGCTACAAATCTCCTCAATCATACCTGAATGGGGCGTACCGACTTAGTCATTCCAGGGCGAAGGTATTGAAAGTTACTGTGAAGAACTCTCATTCAATACACTGACTAGATTGTTAAATCTGACGTTTATAATCATTTAAAACTTAATTTTATTCATGAATTGGCTTCAGGTATAGAACCCACCAACAACAACAGCAGCAGCAACATCCAGCGCCAATCACCATCAACGGGAGGGATTTGAAAGAGGTTACTTCATTCACTTATCTAGGGAGCATTATCTCAACTACAGGAGGAACAGACGAAGATATCAAATCGAGAATCGGGAAGGTGAGAAACACATTCATCAACCTGAAACCAATCTGGAAATCTTCGTCACTCAACTCAGCATCAACAACAAAATTCGGATTTTCAATACAAACGACGTCAAGTCAGTCAGTTCTTCCATACGGATCAGAAACTTGTCCAGTGTGTCACAAAGAATATTTCCAACAGCCTGTTGCAGACCTTTATCAATCATCAACTGTCTTCGTTCTATACTGAAGATCAGATGGCCGGAAAGAAAGAAAGACCAACAAGAAACTATGGGAACAAACAAAACAAGAACCAATCGCCCAACAAATATGCAGGAGAAAGTGGAGATGGATTGGACACTCACTGAGCTGAGGAGGCCGCTGGGTGACATCGCGTGTCAGGCCATAGCTCGAGTGGAACCCGAAAGGGAAGTGGCGAGTGGGACATCCAGGGTTGACCTGGAGGAGATCGTGTGGAGAGGAATTGAAGCAGTATGGACTAACACGGACGCAGGTGAAGAGTACAGCGGAACATAGAAGCAAGTGGAGACGTGTAGTTGAAGCCCTATGTTCCACTAGGAACCCAAGGGAACAATAATAATAATAATAGAACCATTATAAACCCAGAGCTACTGGAGACCTGTTTCCTCCTTACTTGAGACTCTTCATCAGTTCGCATTCACGACTCCTATTCAATTTGCAACCAAAATTGAAATCAGTCAAATCCCTGAAAAACAACACTTGAAATTTATTCTAGTACTTGCTAAAGAATCAATACAGGATGAAGTTTCCTGGAGTTCTTCTGAGAAGTCGTCATATTAGGGATTCACCAATTGAGGCTTGAAGAGAAATACTCCCTAATGACACTAGCTGGGAGTCGGGCTTTCTGGAGAATTGGAAGGAGTTAGAATTAATGGATTATTAGATTCCATCCCAATGGCTGGATGGTGTACGAATTCATCTTTTAACCTGAAGACCCTGGATTTGATTCCTTGGTAGGCGGTCACAGGTGCGTGTTGCTGAAGGGTCTCACACAAGGACAAAACAGCTGTCCAATACCCCCTCGAAATTAAAATCACTGAAATTCCTGCAGACCGACACTTCGGAATTTAGAACACAAGCTACAGAGACCCAGTTAACTGGTATAAGTTGCCGCTGTATACAACCTTAGTAGTTTTTCAGACGGGTACAATGAAAATTTACTTTTGAAGTTAAACGTAGAAAAGTATATGAAATAGGTCATCTACTGTGATTCTTCAGTGAAATTTAAGAGAAATTCTCTTTATTGAATTTAAATGTATTTTACAGTGTGGAAAATCTCGAAAGCGTTTATATTAATTCTCTTTTTGTTCACTAAAGCTCCTGGATTACCAAGTCCAACGTTCCACTGGATTCGATCATTTGGATTCGATGAAAAGCAAGAGATTATATCAGAATATTCAGACTCTGATTATGATGAAGTTTCAAAGACACTTACCATTCGGTTATACGGTCTCAATCTACTAGATTCTGGAATATACAGTTGTTTTGTACAAAATCATCTTGGTTCTAGTCAACCAGCCTCCGTCAGTGTACTAATTAAAAGTATGCAATCCACTTGTTTGTTTTTTTTTTGGTTTGTTTTTCAAAATCGGATTAATAATAACTCATTTGTTTGAATGATTAGGAAGAGAACTAGGCAGTGATAGTTTTGTACTACTGTCGAGTACCATAGGAATAAGTCACTTCTAGAGTATTTTATTCATACCTCCGTGTTCACTGTACCATCTTCTCTAGATGTTGTTTTGAAGGGGACTTAGTATACACATTGTTTATTATGTCTCTTCACTCTTATTTGGAGAAGTTTTATAACGGTTACCTATAGAGAACCATTATTCATCCAACAGCTGTACGACAATGCTGCATGCCAAGTAATCCACAACGGGAAACTCATGGAAGCCTTCAAAGTGAGGACAGGAGTAAGAAAAGGCTGCCTACTATCGCCAATGATTTTCCTGATTGCAGTAGATTGGATAATGCGACAGACAGCAAGCAGCGAGGAAACAGGCATAAAATGGACTCACACAAAGAACTTGAAGGATCTGGACTTCGCCGATGATATATGTCTGATTTCCCACAAACTGGAAGATATGCAAGTGAAAAGTAACAAGTTGGCAGAAGAAGCATCAAAGATAGGACTCCAGGTGAACATAGAGAAAACAGAGGTGATGAAGATTCCTGGACAAAAACAACAACAGAAAACGATCAGCATAGATGGGAGGAACCTGAAAGAAACAGCCTCTTTTACACACCTGGGAAGCATTGTTTCAACTACAGGCGGAACTGACGAGGATGTCAAAGCAAGAATCGGAAAAGCAAGGTGAGCTTTCACTACTCTCAAGTCTGTGTGGAGGTCAACAGCACTCAGCATCAAAAATAAGATCCGGATTATCAACTCCAATGTGAAGTCAATGCTACTATACGGATCAGAGACTTGGCGCGTCATGAAGAGCATCTCAAACAAACTACAGACCTTCATTAACAGTTGTCTTTGCTCGATACCACTCAAGATCAGATGGTCAGAAAAGATCAGCAACAGATGTCTTTGGGCGCGAACCAAGGGTGACTTGGACGAGGTCATGTGAAGAGGAGATGAAAACGTGTGGGCAGACTTGGAGCCAGGTGAAGACTCTAGCAGAGAACCGAACGCAATGGAGACGCATGGCTGAAGCCCTATGTTCCTCTAGGAATTAAAAGAAACAATAATAATATAATAATTCATGTCTAGGAGTTTACTGGCTTACAGTTTGCTTTAATATACAACCACTTACATAAGTGTTCTTGATGTTCTCACTTTGCCAGCCATTCCAGTGTAGATTACTTCTACCTTCTTTAATAATCAATACCGTAATGAAGACTAGATTTAGAGCGGTGTCATTCCTGAGGTACGTGGATGAGCCAGTTATCTTTGAAACATAAGTAGCTGTCTAATAGGTTCTAGCGTATCAAATTAAAATTCATTGGAGAAGCTGTTTGTTTCAGTCATCAGTGCATCTAGATTGCTCAGTTAGATATCCTCCTACCTTTTAACATTAACCATATTACTGAAATAATGGAGAAGATTTGTAGCTCAGATGGAAGATGTTGAATTAATTGTGTTCTCTCAGCTGGTTGATTTAATTACGAAGCTTTCATCGTCCACCTCCTAGACAACATCTTCAGAGCAGGTTTCAGTATAAAAAGGACTTATTTAAATTCTCCATGAATGATGTAATTGTATCTCCTGGCAAACACTGTCGTGACTGGATGTTAATTCACATAGCTACTGATCATTTTTATTGACTTGGAATTCTAACTTTCTTGTCATGTGATTTGCTTTTTATTCGCTGATAAATTCGGTCTACGATAATGTGTTTGTTAATTGCTAATTCACTTGAGTACCAGGCTTCTAGAAATTCCCTGACTGCATCTTTGGTATTTCCCCCATTTAAAACTTCTACATTATCCCAATTAAATTGGTGTTCGTAATCATCCACATGTGTTGATACGAAAGAATAGATATCATATCTTTTTACAGCCAATTTGTGTTCTTGGATTTGGATTCGAAGGGGACACCCACTTTGACCGATGTAATGTTCATTGCAGTTCATACAATTTATTTTGTAAATGGTATTAATTTTATTTTATTTTTCTGTCGCATCTTTTGGCTTGCACAATATAGACTGGAGTGATTGTGTTGGCTTGTGTGCTATGTTTTTTTTCAAACGGTCTTAATATTCCAGCTGTTATTTCAGAGATATTTTTTATATATGGTAGGATGAATTTCCCTGTGGTCTTCGATGTTGGCTTGTTGTTGGTAATATAACTCGAGTTTGAACACTTTTGGTGAAATTGTGAGGATATCCATTCTTTTTGAAGACGGTTAGTAGGTATTTTCCCTCCATTCTCTTCAACACATGAGTGCTACAGTGTGTTTCAACTCTTTTAAACGATGTCTGCGCACATTTTCTTCTTCTTTTGGTTGCCACGAAATGCAATTAAAACATTTATGGAGAATTCAACAATAAGACCTACGCTGAAGATGTTATCTAGAAGGAAGATGAAAGCTTCGCAATTAGATCAAACAGCTCAGATAACACGATCAATGTATTAATCATACTATAATGATGTGTAGGTTTTTGCAATCCCGATGATGTTAATTAATCTAAATGTGCCAGATATATACACATAAACACTTTACTTCACTGTAGTGTTTTCGACATTGTAATTCACGCAAAATGGATAGCACATTTTATTCGGACATTTCCTTTGCTTCAGATTTATTGGAACTAAAGCGATTTGCTTTATCTAATCTTTTTGAGGAGGCTTAACTTTAATTTTTCTACATGAATTTGAATCTTCTTTCTTAACCGCCTAATTTTTATAGTTCGCACATGAGTTAACATGAACTTGCCTACCTGGATTACTAAAGGATGAGTTATAACCGCTCGATTTTCAATTCTGGATCGACAGAAATTCTTACTGACTGGTTTCTTTTTGCATTTTGTTGACGTTGTAGTCGCATAAAAATACTGGCTAATATTAATGAATACTTGACAGTTTCCTCATAGAATTTCACGTCCCTAATCCAGTAAACGAGAAAACTCACAGGACGACACTGGAACATGTTCTGCAACAAAACAAAAGAGAGTAATAATAATCAATATATTAAACAAAATAACTTGGAAAGTAACCACACAACAATCTAGCTCATGAATTCATTGCCTTCAGAGGTGGTGAAATCATTATCATAGTCATTATCATTATTATTCCCTTGAGCTCCGAGTGAAATGTAGGGCTTCAGCAGTACATCTCCATTTTATTTTGTTCTCTACGGTCCTCTTTAGCTAGCTCCACGATACCCCATAGGCTTTCATCTCCTTCTCACACCGTCTCCTCAATGTCACTATCGTACCAATGCCAAACTCTTCATTTACCATTCATGTTCCACTCGAGCGATGGCCTGGCGCGAGATGTCATGCGACGGCGTGTGTTTAATCCATCTTCCTTCTCCTTGGAGTAATTTTTAATCAAAAGATTCTTGATTGGATCGTTTCCAAAGTTTCTTGTTAATAATTCTTCCTGATCTTCAGTATGGAACCAGCGAAGGTGGCAGTTGTTGATAAAAAAACTATAGAAACGTGTTGGGAATGATTCTTGTGACGCGAGCGCCTTGTTTCTGACCTATATAAAAGAACTGACTGACTGGATATTGGTTTTTAAAATCCAAATTTTGTTGTTTATGCGGTGGGGTGCGGAGGATTTCCAAATTGGTTTCAGAGTTATAAAGGTCTGTCTTAACTTTCTGATCCTGACTGGTTTTGACAGCTTCATAGGTGCTGTCTCCTGTAGCTGGAAAGATAACGCCTAGATAAGTAAAGGGAGTGACCTCTTTCGAACTTCTCCCAATGACAGTGATTGCCACTTGTTTTGTTGTTGGTTGCTTGCTTCCATCGCCTTCATTTTCTCCATGTTCACCTGAAGTCCTGTCTTTGCTGCTTCTTCTGTCAGTTTGTTGGTTTTCGTCTCTAAGTCATCGAGATTTTGTGACGTAAGACGTAAATCATCCGCGAATTCAGATCTTTTACAGTCTTCTTATCGGTCCAACGTATTTCTGTCTTCTCGCTGCCCATATCTGGAGTTCCACATGATGCAGTTCACTACAATATGGAATATCATTGGTGATAGCATGCAGCCTTGTCTTACCTCCGTGTTCGCTTCTGACTGTGAGACTTTGGGGTCAGTCCACTGCCTTACATGACACTTTTGCCCAATGATTGTAAGAAGAGTGATCGGTTACTATAGTAGGGTATAATTCATCAAGTAGTAAATTTATTTATTGAAATCACATAGTGATAATCTATTATTTATTGATGACATCCCTGAGTAAAATTTATTGCTCATTATGATATCAAGGTTATCAGGGTTAGGTGTCATATTTTGTTCTTGGTGAACTGCTTTTAATGAGAGGAGACTCATTTTACCCACTTTGTACGCATTTGCAAACATTCTTCTTCTATTCGTCTCCTCGACTGAATACCAAGTTTTTCCCGGAATTCCATATCTCCTCTTGAAATGGCCCTTTCCAAACAAAGTGGTGTTCGACTGATGAATGGGGAATAAGATGAATAACTTATTGAACTCACGTTTTATGCCACATTTTGTGTTACCGTATGAGGTGTATGTTAGAACATCGTAACCACTTAATAAAGCGATCACCTAACCTCTTGAGTTGAGTTCTGAAGACTATGTAATATATATTTTCTTTCCATTTTGTTCTTATTGCATAGAATGGACGTACATTAAAAGTTTTGTTAAGTTTGTAACACACTGACTGCATGTACTGGTTAGGCTAATGGCCAACCTAAAGAATAGGAACTACGGAGTGCAAACGTACCTATGGTCTTGAACGCATTCCGTTCGTTGGATTACACAACCTCGTATTATTACAACGCCAGGGCAATTTCATCCTGATATCGTTTACAAGTACTGTTTGGACATTGAGTTGGCAGCATCTTAGGATTAGGATTAGTACTATGATCAGGTTGTTTTATTTGTCTGCATTT